CACAAATAAAGTGAAAGAACGATTAAGTAGAGAAAATCTTACACATCATTCAAAATGGAAGGATCAGGATGCACAAAATTACTCATTTCCGCAACTAACCGAACAGGAGCGTCGTGATATCACCTTCGGTGAGCTGGACACGCAGGAGAAAATACAAAAAGAAAGTTTTCATGACTTCCCGACTGATTACTGTGCAGTATGCAGCAGTGCATCATAATAGAATCAATAATGCAAAACAGTTTTCTTTCTTATACAACGCATCTGATATGTACGTTTCTCTTTAGGAATATTTCAAGTGAAGCAAGCTTCGTCTTATGTTCAAGAACATTTAAAGCCATCAGCAGCTTTTCCTCAAGATTCTGAGTTTACGATACAAACAGCGGACAATGTTGACGATTTAGTAAAAGTTCGGTATCAATCACGTCATTCTAATAGTGAGATATATAACACATATATTGAATATAACAACGGCATTCTAAATCCAGTTTCCGGATGGTTTTGCGCTTGTACAGCTGGCGAACGAACTGTCGGTTGCTGCAGTTACATCGCTGCCACTTTGTGGCACTTTTCCTTGAATCAGACGGCTATCCATGCCATTAATCAATCACTAAATAATTATCCTAATCTTGTAGAAGATGCTTTACAGTTTTCTGATTACGAGAATTCGTCCGACGAGGACGATGACACAATGTTGTATCAAATAAACTTGAGCTAAAAACCAGTTTTTGCAAACCGACGAAGATATTTTGAATATGCCGGTTTGTAGAGAATTGAAAGAGCTATAAAACGCAATATTTTAAATATTAGTTGGTTGAAGGACCATTTTGAGCAAAAAAAAAAGTGGGCCGATTCTTTAGCTTCTACGGGCCCGTCCTTTCAGAATGTACTCAACTTTAGTAAGGCTACACACTGGCAAAAACAAAATTAAGTTTCAAAAAAAAATTGAGCACGCTGTAGCGCATTAGGTCGTCTTTCTCGTGCAATGGCTCACAGGGGTGCAAAATACCAGGTGAAAAGTGAAAGACGTTTTTCGACAGAAAAAATATTTGATTTTACTCAGAATTTGATCCTGATTTCGAATATGTAATTCCTTTTCGAAATAACGACCTTATCGATACTACTCCTTTAGACTTTTCCCAATTAATCGGTAAGTTTTGAAAGCATGAAATGTCGCATTTTGTTCAGTTTTTAACGTTCTTTCACCTTACATATTTTAGAACTATCAAGCGTAGAACACAATAGAAAAGGCAATACGAAAAGTTAGATTTTTGATCAGAGCTCGTCGAGAACACGTTGTGGAACTATGGTCGACCATCTACTGATTTTAGAGAATAAAATCGTTCATCAATACATTTATGATGCTCTTTTCTGATTGATAGACAAACATTAGATGCTATAATGAAGTTTAAAGCAGAAAGAGCACTTTTACCATTAAACAATTTAAAAATATGAGCTAAGTGACTAAAGTGTTGACAACTTTGACTTGGTTCGAAGTCAAAACCAATTTTGATGGATTATTGTAGTCTTTTAAAGCAATTCTGCTACCAAGATTTTGAACTTTATATAACACTGGAAAGTGGCCTGCCGATAGGAACCGTACACCGAATAGACGTGATATGAACTGAGAAAACATACGTACATACACAGATATAATTAAAAAAAGTGTTCCATCTCATGTTCATTTGGATCGTAGTTTTTCGTACGTTTTGTGGGAAGCTACCTTATCTCATCCAGAAGAAACTCGATCTGAAAATATTGGTTGGTTTTTTGGTATTAGAATTCCAGTTTAAGTATTACAGAAAAGACAGGCGCAAAAATCTGTAGGTATTCAGAATAAAACTTTGTCTCTAATATCAATATTATTACTTGGAAAAACTTGATGAACTCGCCGATTTTTACCGGTCTGGAAATATTTTTAGACCGGCCGGTGACTGGCCGGACCGGACCGGTCTAGTATTTCCAGATCGGTTACAACTCTGCGCTCAACCTTTACTTACATCGCCGTTGTATATGATCCCTGAAGTCTTCGAACGATATTTGAAACACTTGCAAAGTTAAAGATGTGCATCGGACTTTCGACGATGTAGAAATTTTAATTTTTACACCCTGCCAATGATATTTGCGTTGATCAATGAAACTACAGTCTTAAACAAATCTGTTCTTCAGTTTTTCAAAAAATTGAAGAGCAAATTTTGAGTTCTGGAGAACTGAAGAATAGAATTTGAGTTCTCTATTTGGGACAAATGAAGAACAAAATTTCCATTGACTTTCAGTTCATTGAAATTGAAGAACACACTTTTTTAAGAGTGTACTGATATGCATAGGCGAGGATCAATCAACATCCCTTCTTGAAAGTCACATACACATACGCAAAAATGCCTATACTAGAGAAACTAGTATCGCGCATAATTGAAGATTAATTGTTCGTTCAAACGTAATTATAACCATTTTTGGTGATCTTTCTGTATTTTCACTAAGATACGTTCCAGATCTACATCGCTTTCATTCTGAGTCCAGAAAAAAATCAAATCAAATCTAACTTGCATATAACGATGTTCCGTCTACAAGATGACCATAATGAAAACTGTCTCTCATACATATTTCTTAATATTTCAGTTTTTCTCCAATTTTGTTCAGTCGTTGCTCAGAATCGAATTTCGAAGCCCCTTAAAAAAGGACAGTTATAATAAGTCAATTTTACCGAACACCATATTTCGCTGAACAATTCATAGAGTTAGAATCAGGATCGAATTCTGAACAAAACTATCGACTGAGATTTTTGAATTTCCTATCCATCTGTTGTCCGAATGCCCATTCTGACATTCTCGATATCATTCGATCATAATTGCATTTCCAGTTTTTGAAGTCTACCTATCGCAACTGTGAGGAGGGATCTAAATACGGGCTGCTACAACTCTCAGACTCGTGAACAGAGCCATCGACTATTCGTGACTATGTATGTTTCGAGCAATAACTGATGCAGTTACGTTCCTACATTAGTTGGTCAACCAGTAAAAAAACGTGATTTTTTTACGACAGATCTATACCCCTGCAAGTTGATGACTTTATCTATTAAATATTCATTATATAATTCTAGTAAATTCTATAACTCAAACACGTTTTATGCAGTAAACTCTAACGAGAAAGGAAAGTACAAAGTAATCGTTTCTTTATAGCTCATTGGTCAAGTTTATGAGTTTTAGTTTCTGATTAAATCATTTTTCTCTTAATATTTCTATAGAAATTAAAAGCAACAAGAATGGAAGAACGTTTCAATGTACGCCAATAATTTCTTTTCTTTACAAATATTTGATTATAGTTTTCTTCTCTTTCTTCTATTTTATATTGCATTATATTTTTATTAGATGACTGGTGCTTGAATTCTAGAAGCGTCTAACTACTTCGACAATGTCATCACGAAATACGCATGACTTATCATTTTACTTTTCTCAGCAGCATTTTTCCTTTACCGTAGCTTGTTTCGTTGGGTTTTTCTTTAATATGTATGAGTCATGCTGTTTTTTTTCTTCTTCAGCATTCAGTTATGCACAAATTACTTCAGATGTTTCTTCTCGTATTTTCTTGTATCAGAAATAATGGTAAGATTGTTGAAATTCAGCTGGAAAAATGGTGCCTCGGTGTCCTGTCCTAACATATTATCTATTAATATACATATCGCTAACAAAGTCTTCAGATATGAAATTATGAGATTAATTATTTTTCCATTTAGCTTTCCAATAAAATAATATCAATAATGGATTTTTAGATTGACACGTTTTGATAACTGATATCCGTTCACTTCTTCCATTTTACATTGCATCATATTTTTGTTAGATGACTGGTGCTTGAATTCTAGAAGCGTCTAACTACTTCGACAATGTCATCACGAAATATGCATGACTCATCATTTTACTTTTCTCAGCAGCATTTTTTTTTTACCGTAGCTTCTTTCGTTGGGTTTTTCTTTAATATGTATGAGTCATGCAAACTGCATGACTCATACATGTTTTTTTCTTCTTCAGCATTCAGCTATGCACCAATTACTTCAGATGTTTCTTCTCGTATTTTCTTGTATCTGAAATAATGGTAAGATCGTTAAAATTCAGCATTACGTGATTGAATATATATTAATCATATCTGTAATACATTGGATATTGTTTTTACTTCATACTTCTAACTCTTAGCTAATTAGATGAAAAATTTCGAAACGATAAAGTTTCTTTCGACAATTGTAATGAATTTTTAACAGAGCGAACAAACACGAAATCCTAAGTGTCGCGGTGCCTAGTTTTATTTTACTAGAATTATATAATGAATATTTAATAGATAAAGTCATCAACTTGCAGGGGTATAGATCTGTCGTAAAAAAATCACGTTTTTTTACTGGTTGACCAA